GCCAGCCGGTTCAATCAGAAAACGCAGAATTGCAAATTCTGGGCATTCCCGGCAGAACAAGCCTGCTGTTTTAAGATTTTTTCTTTGCCATTTGTACCAAATACAAGTCCAAAAACTCAATAAATAGATTAAAAAATATCATACAATTATAAATCTCAAAATTAATAAATCTCATACATACATATATATGAAAAATAAGTTCACAAACTCAAACTAATATATAAATGATGCATAAATTAAAATTGTTCATTGTTTATCTCCTATTTGAGGAGGATCTTCATTAAACCAAATATCACGTTCACGAAAATCATTTTTACTATCATAACTATTATCATTTTCTTCACCAATTGACTCCAAATCAATTCCTCCACTTGCACCACCAATATAGAATGATCCTTCTTCACCACCTTGTACTTCTTCATCAATATTATGTGTGCCACCTTAAAAGTTAAAAAGTAAAAACATATAATAAATAAAAAATAACAAAATAAATCATAATTCAAAACTAACTCGCATAATCAATAAGATAATTCATAGAAAGACAAAATAACATAATAAATATAAAATCAAATATTATGAAAAAAAAGCTTTGATAGTTTGATTGGTAGAAATCTCTTAAAATTTTACACTCTATCTAATAAACTCCTCAAATTCGATTTCTATTTCAGATTTTTAGTGGAGAAACAGATATTGTCCAACTCCAACCGTTTCAAGAAATTGCAAGGAAGTTGAAAGCCTGTGACAGTGAGCTTACCGGCAGCACCCTCGAACGGACGGTGAGGGCCTTTGGTGGTGGGTCACGGCTGTTGGGTGAACGTCGATCTGCTGCTTGCTGCTGCTGCTGGAGACACGATGAACGTCAATCTGCTGCCCCGCTCTACTGCCTTGTGTTGTGGTTTCTTCTTCGATCTGCTGCCCCGATCTGTTGCTTGTATGGACGCCGAGAAGGAGGACGATGGTGAATCAGATCTGCTGTGCTGTGGAGTCCGATTTTGTTGAGAATGGAATGGAATAAAATTAGAAACCCCGACTGTGGGTGTGGGAAAAAAAAAAAATTGCAGATCGTGCGTCGCCCTGCGTGCGTCGATGCGTCCAGCCTGGAGGAATTCGCCCGGCGGGTTTGCCGGGTCTGCCGGGCTGGACGGGTTGAACGGGTTCCCCGGGTTTGGACGGGCCAACCGTCCAAACGGGCCTGGGGGTCAACCCAGCCCGTTTCATGCTCCGGGTGCCGGTCGAACCGGTCGGACCGGCCGGTCCGGTCCGGGTTTCAAAACACTGACCCAAACCACCTCCAATGTTGCTGCCCTTGTCTGCAACCTCCAGGCTTCTGGTTGACAATGGAAGCGAGACTAGGAGGCGACGCCATCAATTGACCGATGACCTCGATGTAAATGCAGAATTTTGCAGATTGTTTTTCATTAGAAAAACAAAAAAGAGAAAAACCATTACGACGGAAAATGTTTAAGCCCAATCTGATATCTAGACCAAGCCTTTAAGCCCAATTACAAGGCCCATACAAGATCCAATCTCAGATTTATTTATGATAAAAAAAAAAAAACAAAAACCCTCAAATGCATTTTGTTACCTGACGTTTTTATTTCTTCATATATTCTTAGGTAAATTGGACATTTTTATTTGATGGTCAAGGTAAATTCCAGATTTTAAAGTTTATACTTTGATCTAGACATCCTGTCTCTTGGAAGTCACAATCATCCTTGCATTTGCCCAATTATGCTACACCGTTGCAATTCCGTTTACACTGATTCTCAAGTACACTCTCTGGGCTATTTTTGCCATCTCCATAATTGTTGTTATCATCTCGAAGTACTTTCATTTTTAAACTTAATTTGTATTTTTGTAACGTTCATTGTTGCGAATTATACATGCTAAGGAGAACAGAAAAGATAGAAGCTATAGTTTTTTATAATTGACGTCGACGCTTTGTTTCAAGGTCAGGTTGGAATTGTTGGAATAGCCCAACATTCAATTTGGGCTGTATATAATGGGTCTAGGCTGACATTCATTAGCTCAAAGTGAAGGAGCACCAGTACAAACATACCCACGTGAACAGCGCCACGTGGGCCAATGAGATGCTTACATGTACAGATGCATGTCAGCACTTGGGGCTATAAATACCCCCCAACTTCCTCCGATGAAGGTAATTAATCTCTACTCTTCTCTCTCTATACAATTACTCTTTGAGAGCATATTTCTCTAGAACATCGAATATTGCTGACTTGAGCGTCGGGGTGTTTTCCCCGAAGAAACATCCTCGGGGCTATAAATACCCCCCAACTTCCTCCGATGAAGATAATTAATCTCCACTCTTCTCTCTCTATGCAATTACTCTTTGAGAGCATATCTCTCTAGAACATCGAGTATTGCTGACTTGAGCGTCGGAGTGTTTTCCCCGAAGAAACATCCTCGGGAATTTCAAGTGTGGAAGCAGCTGAAGACCTCAACAGCATTGGATCGTGAAGCTGCCCAAACATTTGGCGCCGTCTGTGGGAACTGAACAAGAAGTTGTGTAGCTTAACCTGCTGAAAGACAAAATGGTTCGTACTTTTACTGGAAGTCGCCCCCCGAGAAATGAAATGGACGAACAGGAGGACACTCAACTATCTGACCTTGGCTTGAATGATTTTAGACCAATGCCGAGAAACCTTTTCGTTGGGGGAGCAAAACATGATCAATTAAGTGGAACAGATGATGATGAAAGAACATCAACTGGGTATGCAACTCAGCCTGAACACTTCCAAATTCCAATAGGAACAAGGCAAAGACATCCCAGGTAAGGCAGTCTACAACATGAACAACCTGAAAGGTCAACAGAGCTTGCTCGGACAACTGAGCTCGAAGAGAGAACCAGAGTTCTTGAAATGGAAATGGGTAAAATCCTTGCTCGCCTAATCCCTGATGACCCCCTGATTCCTTTGCTGAACATGGATGCACAACCAGCTGTAGTGGTTGCAACCCGTAACTCCCCGGCCCTGAGTAATGTGGTGGTCCCAACCAAACCAAGGGGAAGTGGGAGGTTAAACCCAGAACCCAACTCATCCAAGCATAATGAAGAACTGATAAAGAAAAACGCTGACCTCAAAAGACAACTCAAAGATGTACAGAAATCCATTGACGAGCTGAAAAGCCCCAGGTCGCACCAACAAACCCTTGACTTGGATAATGCCCCACTAAACCTATCCATCACAGTAGAACTGTATCAAGAGGGATTCAAAATCCCCCACCTAGAGACATATGATAGCTCAAGTGACCCAGATGAGCACCTGCATACCTATCAAGGCATCATGAGAATCCAAAATACCAATGACGCCATGATGTGCAAAGTGTTTCCAACGACACTGAAGTCAACGGTTAGAAGATGGTATCATAAACTCCCCAGACACTCTATAGACTCATACTCCCAACTCGCCAAGCTATTCTCCAATAAATTTGCGAGCCAAAGGAAGATTAAACAAACAGCAACAGAATTGCAGGTTCATCAGAAGGAAGGGGAATCCCTGAGGGATTACATGCAACGGTTCAACAAGGCCACCTTAGATATTGATAACGTCCTCGATACCATCTGCTTATCTACCTTGCTACATGGTTTGAAGTATGGTCAGTTCCTAGACGACTTGCTAGAGAACCCACTAAAGACGTGGAATGAAGTAAATGATAGATTGGCTAGCTTCATACTGTTAAAAGACTTCTAGTCGTCCAAGCAACAAGCTGATGACAAACAAAGCAAAGGCCACAAACAACCATCGAGGAGAGAGGAGAAGAAAAAGAAGAAGCTCAACGAGCAGTGGGGGAAGCCAGCTAACTTCCCAAAGTATGCCAACTACATTCCTTTAACCTTACCAAGGTCTCAAATCCTGGCACAAATTCAACACTGGATTAGAAGACCTCCACCCCCACTGCATGATTCCCCAAGAGCAGACAAGAGCAAGCATTGTGACTACCATCGTGCATACGGTCACAATACAGAAGACTGCCAGTACTTAAAGGACGAGCTAGAGTTTTTAGCTCGCAATGGGAAACTAGAAGGATATGTCTAGAAGCCCTACGCCCAGCAACCAACTCAAACCCATTTTGTACAGGGGCAGAGGTACCAGCTCGACAACACACAGGACGTATACCAGGATAACCAATATCCTTTTGAGCAGGGCAGAGCGCACAGGGGTCATCAATTCAATAGGTGGGGCCAAGGACAAAGAACCGCCACCCAAAACCAAAAAGATAGGAAAAGGGTAGGCTATGCTGGGATACCCCTGCCCTCGAGCACAATAAACATGATCTCGGGTGATATACACTCCGGAGGCCAAAGCGCTCGAGGCCGTAAGGTATATGCCCGGCAGGTGACGACCGTTAACAAGAACAGACCCTTGAAGCGGCCGTTTGAGGAGGCAGAGTGGAAGAATGCGCCCATTACGTTCAGCCCGATAGATTATAAGCGAGCAGAGGGAGAGCCCGACGTTATGATGCCTCATGCAGATCCTTTTGTGGCAACGGTTCATATAGGCAATCATAACATCAACAAGGTGTTTATCGATACTGGTAGCTCACCAGACATCTTATACTAGAGTTGTTTTCAAAAGATGCAACTGAATCCGAACTCGCTGCAGAAATACGAAGGGCCCATATATGGGTTTGATAACCAACCCGTCCCGGTTGAGGAAGTTATTACTTTTCCCATATATGTGGGCTCAGAACCACGCTTCAGGATGGCTTCTGTTAGCTTTCTGGTCGTTAAGATGGAATTAGCTTTCAATGCTATATTAAGAAGAGCCACCCTGTGCGAGCTGAAGGCTGTTATTTCACAACCCCATCTCTATATGAAATTCCCAACTCCTCAAGGGGTAGGAGTGCTTAAGGGGAACCAGAAGATGGTCAAGGCCTGCTACCAAGATACTTTTAAGAAGGTCGAGCTCGCTATAGCTCCGAGAGGCTCTTCTGAAATCCACAGACCTAGCCAGCCCGGTCAACAGACAATGAGCATATCAGATATTGAGCACCGACCTAAAGGTGTCGAGCTGAAGGCTGAGCCGGTAGAACCAATGGACACAATCCCCTTAGACCCTGATGTGCAGGAAAGAACAGTTAAGATCGGCACCAAGCTCACAGAAGAAGAGCGAGCAAAGCTTCTGGAGTTTTTAAGGGTTAATCAAGACGTGTTTGCGTGGACAACGGATGAAATGCCTGGCATTCTAGCGGAGTTGATAGTCCACAAGTTCAGCACAGACCCTACCAAAAGGCCAGTGGTTTAGAAACGTCGCATTTTTGGCCTTGAGAAGCAAGCTGCTATAGATGAAGAGATACAAAAGCTGCTACAAGCATGCTTCATCAAGAGAGTTGAATATTCTGAGTGGATGTCTAACCCTGTGCTCGTTAAAAAACCAAACGACAAGTGGAGGATGTATATTGATTTCACCAACTTAAATGAGGCGTGTCTGAAAGACCCTCATCCCTTGCCAAATGTTGAAAAGTTAGTGGAGTGAGCAGCGGGACATGAGCGGATGAGCTTCCTTGATGCCAGCTTGGGTTATCACCAAGTTCAACTACTGTTGGACAACCAAGAGAAAACAGCTTTTTATGTTGGTGTCGCAATCTATTGCTATGTCATGATGCCATTTGGCATGAAAAATGTGGGCGTGACATATCATAAGCTGGTGCAAGTCGTCTTTAAGCTCCAGATCGGCAGGAATATTGAAGTATACGTGGACGATGTGATAGTCACTAGCAAGCGAGCCGAGGATCACATAGACGACCTGAATGAAACATTTCGAAACTTGCGCAAAGCACAAATGAAGTTGAATCCCCTGAAAGGCACATTTGCTATGGAATCAGGAAAGTTCCTAGGGTACGTGGTATCTAAGAAAGGAATTGAGGTAAATCCAAAGAAGGTTCAGGCACGTTCAGCAGATGGAGCCTACCAAGATCGTGAAAAATGTGCAGCGTTTGACAGGTTGTGTGGCCACATTACACAGATTCATAGCCAAATCGGCAAAAAGGTGTCTCCCGTTCTTCAAAGCCCTGCGAGAGCCCAAGAACTTTCGGTGGACCGATGAGTGTCAACAAGCGTTTGACGAGCTCAAACAATATCTGGCATCAGCATCCCTGCTGTCCAAGCTTGTGGAGGGGGAGAGTTTATATTTGTATCTGGGGGTTACAGAGCGGTGAGCTCGGTTTTGCTAAGAGAAGAGAATAAACATCAGAAGCCTATCTGTTATGTAAGCAAGGTTTTACAAGGCGCAGAGCAGAACTACCCACTAGCAGAAAAGGCTGCTTTTTCCTTGGTTTACACGACTCGTAAGTTGAGAGCTTACTTCCAATTACATCAGATTGTTGTCTATACCGATCTGCCGTTAAGGAAAATACTGTAGAAACCGAAACTCTCTGGTCGGCTTATCGGGTGGAGCATCGAGCTGAGTGAGTAAAACCTCAAATTTCAGCCGCGCACAACCATAAAAGGCCAAGCTGTGGTGGACTTCCTGGCGGAGTGCCTCTCGGTGATGGTGGAAGAAAGGGCACCCGAATACTCAGTCTAGGTCTTGTACATGGATGGAGCTGCTAATATTGAAGGATCGGGTGCTGGGGCTATGTTAGTGGGCCCAGATGGCTTTAAATCCGAGCATGCACTGAGATTTAAGTTTCAGACAACAAATAATGCTGCAGAATATGAAGCCCTTATTTATGGTTTGAAGCTAGCGTCTGAGCTGAAAGTACAGAGTATTTAGGTTTTTAGTGACTCTCAGTTCGTTTTAGGCCAAGTGAATGGCAGTTGTGAAATCAGGAATCCTCAGCTTGGTCGTTATGCTTCTGTGGTCAACAGATTGAAATCAGGATTTGTATCTTTCCAAATCGACAAGATACCTAGCGTAGGAGCCAATACCGAAACACTGATTTTAGTGACATTTAAAATCCCACTACGATGAATTCGATTGCCAGGTTCACCACTTAGGTTGGCAAGATCTAAGATACAAGATAAATTGAGAGAATTCACTCTCAAGAAACTTACTCAACATAGGAGAATTTATGAACTGAAATTTTGGATTAAAACTTATGCATACAACGACGGGAACATAGCTATTTATAGGCAAAATCTAACATAAGGCAATAAATGAAAATTGAAAATGCAGTTGGGAGTTAGCCATCTTTGTGGAATTTAGTAGCCACTTTTGACAAAATTGCACCGGTCTATTTGTAGTCTGCAGAGTGTAGTCTGAGTTTTGTTGACTTGCAATCCTGGTGCACTTTCCTGGTGCTTTCCCCTGTGCATTCTCCCCTGGTTGGAGAAAACTCATCCTCGAGTTTGAGTTCAATGCTCATGGTCCTCATAGTAAGAAGATAGGTCAGCTACGTTGAAAGTAGCAGATACTCCATAGTCACCTGAAAGTTTGATCTTGTAGGCATTATCATTGATTTTCTCCACTATCTGGAAAGGACCATTTGTTCTAGGGGAGAGTTTGACATTAGGTCGATTAGGAAACCTTTCCTTTCAAAGGTGTATCCAAACCCAATCTCCTTCTTTATACCCAACTTTCTTTCGGTGCTTGTCATGATGAGCCTTATACCTAATGGTTTGACGTTGTAGCTTCTCACGAACTTCTTCATGAAGTTTCTTGATCTCCTTAGCTCGTTGTTCAGCATCTGCACTAAATTGTCAGGATGTGGGCAATGGAGCAAGATCTAAAGGACTGAGAGGACGCACTCCATATACTACTTCAAATGGGCATTTTCCCGTAGCTTGATTCGAAGAGTTGTTGTAGGCAAACTCAGCTTGGGCAAGCACAAGATCCCATTGTCACAAATTCTTTCCCACAAAACTTCGTAGTAGATTCCCCAAAATCTTATTGATAGCTTCAGTTTGCCCATCGGTTTGGGGATGGCTAGCATAACTAAACTGGAGTTGAGTGCCCATCTTTCTCCATAAAGTCCTCCAAAAATGACTCATGAACTTCACATCTCTATCTGAAGTTATAGTCTTTGGAACTCCATGTAGACGCACAATCTCTCTAAAATATAACTCAGCAATGAGAGAAGCATCATTAGTTTTTTGACAAGCAATAAAGTGAGCCATTTTAGAAAATTTGTCAACCACGACCATGATAGAATCCTTGCTTCGTTGAGTTCGTGGTAGACCAAGGACAAAATCCATACTAACATCTTCCCAAGGTGATGTTGGGATAGGCAATGGCAGATACAACCCTGTGTTATGATTGATTGTCTTGGCTTGGTGACAAACTTTGCATCTTTGAATGTGACGAATGACATTCTGCTCCAACTTTGGCCAGTAAAAGCTTTCTTTAACAAGAGCTAAAGTCTTGTCTCTCCCAAAATGACCAGCTAATCCACCATTATGTGCTTCTCAGATAATTGAATCTCGGAGTGAGCAACGTGGAACACATAGTCGGTTACCCTTGAAGAGGTAATCTTGCTGGTGATGATATTGCTGAAAGGCTTGATTAGAAGTGGCTTGCCAAGTGTTGCTCAAATCAGGATCATCCTCATACAACTCCTTGATCACTTCAAATCCAATGACTTTCATCTGTAAGGAAGTAAGCAAGGCATGTCGGTGACTCAGAGCATCAGCTACACAATTTTGGACTCCAGATTTGTATTTGAGGAGGAAAGGATAAGCTTGTAGAAATTCACTCCACGTAGCATGTCGACGACTGATCTTCTGTTGGGAATTCAGGTGCTTCAATGCCTCATGGTCAGAGTGCAAGATGAATTCTTTTCAAAGAAGATAATGACTCCAATGCTCCAAGGCTCGAACAATTGCATAGAATTCTTTGTCATAGGTGGAATATCTGAGCTTTGTGTCATTCAACTTTTCACTAAAGAAGGCAATGGGTCGACCTTCTTGACTTAACATTGCACCAATTCCAACATTAGAATCATCACAATCTACTTCAAACATCAAGTCAAAGTTGGGAAGTGCAAGTATAGAGGTTTCAGTGAGCTTCCTCTTTAATTCTTCAAAACTCTGTTGGGCTTTGCCATTCCATGAAAATTTGTCACCCTTAAGGCTGTCAGTGATTGGGGCAACAATAGAACTAAAATTCTTGATGAATCTCCGATAAAAAGATGCCAGGCCATGGAAGCTTCGAACATCATGCATCGATGTTAGTGTAGGCCAGTTGACAATAGCATCAATCTTATTGGGGTCCATCTTAATACCTTGAGCAGTGATGATGTATCCAAGAAATGTCACACTTGTAGTGAGGAATGAACATTTCTTGAGATTAGCATAAAGTTTCTACTCTCTAAGGACTTCAAAAACTTGCCGGAGATGGTCTAGGTGCTCCTATTCATTCTTGCTATATACCAGGATATCATCAAAGTAAACCACAACAAATTTCCCAATGAAGAGTCGAAATACCTGGTTCATAAGACGCATGAAAGTGCTGGGAGTATTAGACAATCCGAATGGCATGACCGTCCACTCGTATAAACCATCTCTAGTTTTGAATGCTGTCTTCCATTCATCACCGGGACGCATTCGAATCTGGTGATATCCACTTCTCAAATCAATCTTTGAGAAGACAGTAGCTCCATGCAGTTGATCAAGCATATCATCAAGGCGTGGAATTGGGAAGCGGTACTTGATAGTGATTTTGTTGATTGCTCGACTATCTACACCCATTCTCCAAGTTCCATTTTTCTTTGGGATGAGTAGCACAGGCACGGCACATGGGCTAACACTTTCCTTGACAAGTCCTTTCTCCATCAGTTCTTTGACTTGTCGTTGAAGTTCCGCATACTCTTGACGGTTCATCCGATAGGCAAGCTTGTTTGGGATGACAGATCTTGGGATGAAATCAATGGCATGCTGAATGTCTCTCATTGGTGGTAATCCAAGAGGGATCTCGTCAAGAACAACATCAGAAAATTCTTCAAGGAGAGATCGAATTTCTTCTAGAAAAGGGCAAGTGGCATCATTTACTTTGGATAATAGTAGGAGACATGCTATCCCCGACTCTTGGTGCAACTTCTGAAAGGTTGATCTGGAGATTAAAGCCTTGTCCTCATCCTTCTTTTCAAGTGTTTCTTCAGGCTTCAGGGGAGTGAGCTTGACCTTCACACCATCTTTCACAAATGAGTAGGTGTTGGCAT